TATTTATAAATTTTTCATACATATATATATATATATATATATATATATATATAAATATTAAATCCAAAGGTAAGGGGGAAAAAAGTTTTGTTGGTTTGTGTTTTGTTTGAGTATGATGATTTGCTTCAAAGATTGTAATGATATTTTTATAATTAAAGTTCAAGTATAAATCCACACGCTTTCCTTGGATTTATTTTAAAATTCTCCACTCTCACATTTTGAAGGAATATCATATGAGATATTTTCATAGCATTTCTCAAGACATTTTATATCGTCGGCCCAAAACGAAATCCAGGCCCAAGTAATAGAAATTTAGGCCCATTTAAAGAAAAAGCCTAATTTTCGCGGATAATTCCAATAGATACAAAGTAATCGATCAATTTGTCGTTTGGATTTTCAAGGACAGGTTGATTTTTTTTTTTCTGTTTCTGAAGCGAGCGACGAAGAGAGTTAAGGCTTAAAGATTCTCCAAGGCTACAGAGGCGATATACCATTCAAGTCTCCATGGCTATGGCCTCCCACATTTCATGACAAATTATTAAAAATACACAACATTTCATCTGTACCTTGTAAATATATATTTTTCAAATTATCAATATAGAGTGGAGAAGAGAGAATTGAAAATTTAGAGAGAAATTTGAACAATGTTGGGGTTCGAATCCTGTCTGGTTGGACGGATGGAAAAACTAAACCTTTGTCTCTGCTCTCCAATTGGGCTACGCATAAGATTGAAACTCCAGACGCAGTTTTGGTCGGCCGGAGAGACAAGCATTAGTTCATAGCATGCGCCCTCATGACAATTTGTATTCTCCTGTGGAACTCATAATTGTTATATATATATATATATGTGTGTGTGTGTGTATATGTTGTTTCTTTATCAAAGATTTCGATTCTTTACTTTGCCCTATTTTTGTAGCAAATGGCATGAACTTAATTGGATTTTCCAAGAGAAGAGAAGAAGAGATTCAGTCTGAAAGCAGGAAGGGAATTTGCTACAAAATGTTCATCTGTCTCTGCGGATCAAATTCCAAAAACTCACCGTTTCCAGGACGATTGAAACCGTACATGTCGAAAACCTTGTCGTCTGGTCTCACACTGCCATTGCTGCTGTCGGGACCTCCACGAAAGCCGTCAACGGCGGAAGGACCACCGGCCGCCACGACCCAAGGAGGGGGGTGGACCGAGAAGTTAGAACCTGAAGCCTCTTGGTTTATAACGACGATGTTAGGGTTCTGCTGAGGCGAGTTTCCCGTGGTTCTTCTGTTGGATGAATTCGCAGAGACGGGGTTTGATTGCTGCTGCTGCTGGTTCTTCATCGGCGATTTCGGGCGGAGAGCCTCTATATCCGGAGTCGTCACAACGAGATGTGGCGCTTCGGGAGGTGGGTTTCGCCCCCCTCCTCCTTGCCACACCTTCCCGTCCTTGTCAATGAAGTTCTTCGTATAAGCCTGAATGCATTCTCGCACATAGAGTGGCCAATTTGATTAATAACCGAATACCTGAACTGATCCGAATAGAGTAATACGTAACCATAACCGACTCGAATCCGAATGATTACGATTTTTCTAAATGAGAAACAGAAAAAACCGAAAAAGCTATATAAAATGAGTATTTTTATCGGTGAAAACAAAACCAAACCGAAATAGAACTGAACCGAATGGTTATAATTTTTCTAAAACTAAAACAATCGAACCCAAATATATAGCCATACTGAATCTGAACCGAGACCCAAAAAGCTTACTCGCACATATTGAAAGTTTGAAACCATTGATTAGACACTAGGGTTCGGTTTCAGGTTCGACGACAAGGAGTAGAAAAAGTTTTACCTGAGCATCGAAGTTGGATGAGGAAAGGCCTTTTCCAACTGTAACCCAACCGGCTCGAATATTGTGGTCTTCCCCGAAAAGCTCGAGCCTGCGTCGACCAAGTGCAAAATGCTCAACTATCCGATACATATCTTCCGGCTTCTGAGTTGAACCTGCAATTTTTGCAACCGATGCAGAGTAAAAAAGCCAATTTGTAGCAGAGAAGATGCGTTTTATTTTTGCGAAATTACTACTAACCGTAAGGGGGTTCCTCGGCAATGATCACATCAGTATCGATATTGGCATGGATTATATGACCATCAGTGCTACGTCTAACAGTTCCCTTTATACCCATCAGGCAGTGTTCCTTTTACGGTTAAAACACAAACCGACATATCGTTAAACATAATAGAAGGCGACAACCTGAAAAACATTGACAGAAACAAAATATATCGGACCTTAGAACGCTGAAACAATGTACGAGAATCATGTCTCAATGTCGGTGCTGCATTGCTTTTGTTGGTCTTAACCCAACAAATGTCCTCGCACCTTCTGAAACCCCACTGTTGAATAAAGACAATTATCAATATCGTAAATGTAAAACCCAAAATATAAATGAAAAAAAAAATTTACCTTCTTCAGGCACTGGCGCCCTTGCTCAAGCCCGACTCCATCGCCAACCCAAAGGAAGATAAAAGAGGGAGTATCCGCTATAGCCTACAGAGAGACATTAAGAATTTCGTGGTTATCATATATTGCAATGACAAAGATCAGAAAACCACGAGAAAAACGAATGTTCACCTCAATCTTAAGGTTAATGATTTCTTCGAATGTCCAATACTCCATATTGTCAGCAACACCTGGAGCTCTATGGACGTACTCCTCCCATGGCGGATCAACAAGGATGACATCAAACTTTGTTCCAAAAAGCTCAGGAGATAGCTCAAGTTCATGAAGGTCGCATTTCAAATACATTGGAGCAGAAGCAGACTTAGTTACAATCTCATCCTTCTTCTGTATGAGCTCCCTAAGTTTGGGATAGTCTTCTACATTGGTAAGCTCTAGTTCCCTGATGAAATTCTGTGGCCGCATCCCGGTATCCACAAAGTTTTGAGAATAATCATTTTGCTCTCCTCTAGAAGGAGCTTTACCAGGAGGCCCCCCGGACCTCGGAGGAGGAACCCATCCCCCCGAACTCTTATCAGACGTGGTTCCTCGTCCCATTTGTATCGGAACATCGAAAGTGGGCCCAGACAAGATAGGAGGTCCTCCTCTTTCGGAACCTGGAGGGTTGAAGTACATGTTTGGGTTTGGAGTACCAAAGGTCGGAGGGAATCTCGGGCCGGATGGTCCAGGAGGAAGAGGAGACAGAACAGGAGGAACAGGCAGCATGTTGGCATCTACCCCTCGTGGACCAGGCCAGACAAGGGGCGGGGCAAATGGAGGCATGAAGACACCGGCTGCGATTGGAGGGCCCGGAATTGGTGACATTGCAGGTGCAAGTGACTGAATTGAACCGGGTGGTGGCATTCCAAGGTTCCCAAACGGTGGTCCCATCAAAGGCAATGGAATGCCACCTTGTTGGGTCTCTCTCCCACCAGGCCTTCCTTTTCCGACCCTCGAGAGTCTGTTCCCTTTCATGCCCGGGGGAGGCAGTGAACCTCGATTAGAGGTCTGCCCACTATTACTCCGAGCATGTGTGGCACCCCTCAGGTTCCTTCCTTTGCCACTGGAGTAGTCAGATTCATCAACTTCATCCCTCGAATCTTCACCATAAGGCCCAGAACTGAAATTTTCACTTTTTTGTCTATCTTCATGGTTATAGGCCCATTCTTCATCGTTACCAGCTGGCTTTTTGTCAGGTTGCTGACCCATTTCACTCCTACGAGCAAAGTTTGGACCTGATCCTCCCCTTCCGTAGTCATTTGACTTGGTTTGTATTTCAATCACATCATAATTCTCATTTGAAACCCCACCACTCGACAATGTTTTAACTGCTTCACCCCTATTTCCATCTTTCCTGCCACCTGAACGACCATGAGGCCTTTCGCTGTCACTCCTTTCACGTCCTTGCCTTGGAAAGTCCCGTTCCCTGCTACGATCATAAAGCAAGTCCCCATCTTTTGAATCTTTGTCATTACTCGAATGCTTTCTCTTCCAGTTATCTTTTGAACCTTCTCGATCTCTGTCCCGATCAGACCAACCATAATCTCTTCCTCTCGATCTTTCATCTCTCCGACCATCTTTTTCTTGTTCACCCCACTTGTTGTCACTCTTTTCATACTCTGCCTCTGATTGTTCTGATTCTTGGTGACGCTTTCCACTTCTTTCTGGTGTCCTAGACCTATTAGACCGTCCAGCTTCACTCGCTGTTTCAGAAGCATCCCGGCCACTCGTTTTCTTAAGAGGACTAGCTCTATCATCATCTTTACTGCTCTCTGACCTTCCTCGAGTCTTACTCTTCTCTTCCTTGTTGCTTGACTTCAGACTTTTATCAGATTTAGAGTCCAGACCCCGAGCCCGATTGTCACTGTATTCAGATTTAGAGGAAGTTTTTTCTCCCGCACCCTCATGCCTGGATTCAGAAAGCTTACTACTTTTGAGATCACCTCTTTCATTTTCATTCTCTTGACCTTTCCTAACAGGATCAGCTTCATCCCATCTTCTCCTTCTACTCAAATCAGAAGAACCATGAGTTCTGTCTCGGCCACTTTCCCTCCTGTCTGAACTCTTGGATTCACGGTCATGATATTTATCAGACTCTCCATCAAGAGATTTCTCTTCCTTGCTTTTATCGATCACCTTTGAATTCGATCTCCTCCTCTCGCTTCTGTCCCCACCATCCAGCCGGCTTTCTTGATCTCCGTCCTGGTACCAACTGCTCAGCTGTTCCAACGAACTCTCCTCTTGTTTCTTCTTCATTTGCTTTGACCGCTGCTCCTTCTTGGCCTCGTAATCATCTTCATCACTCTCCCCTCTACTCAAGCCGCCGGATCTCTTTCTGCTCTCGCTCTTATCCTTCGAACTTCTTCCCGACCTGTGCTTCCGCTTCTCATTGCTTTCAGGTTCTTCTTCGCCCCCATCCCAATTCCCGCCCTTCAAATCAGTACTTTCCTCCACATCCCGCTTCATGTAACTCCGATTGTGTTTCCGGTGACAAACTACAATGAAACACAAACCCTAACGATTTAAGACAACAAACCAAAGTATCTCCGAAAACCCAACAGAAGCAACGACTGAGCTTCAGCATCAATCCACAATCTCAACGATTATAGCATCAACGAATATAGAAGTATAATCCAACCCTAACAGCAACAATCTTTGTGACACCAACCAAAAAAACGAGGATCTAATAAGAATCAGATAGACCCACGAAGAACCCTACCAAACCCCGAATCCCAAATCCCATCCCCGAATAATGACTAAAATGGCATCGAAAACGAATGAAAGATGAACAGGATAGAGTAGCATTTACCTCTCTTTGGATTCGGCAGAAATCTGGAGAAGACCAAAAACCCTAGAAACCTTCAGGTGGTTTTTCAAATTTTAGCGGATGAGATTATGGTTTAAGTCTCCGAAGAAGCAAACCTCCCTGATTGCAGAATTTTTTGGTTTGTTTTTTCTTTTACACGAACCTCTCTACAAGTTGATTGAAATTTTTTTTTTAATCCAAATTATTTATGTGAGAAAAAAAGAAAAATGCTCGATAGGAATTTAGATCGAGGTCTGAAAATAAACTCTTTAATGGGCCCTTAATGGGCTTTGTACGGTAAGCTCATTTAGGCCCGAATAGTTTCCTACGGTGACAAATCAGAGGCGAAATATGGAATATTACAAATATACAAGGACCTAATTTGTAATTTACTGGAAACCCAAAAAACCCGAAACCCTAGATTTCCCTATAAAGAGCGCGAACTTGTGCAGTTGAACTGCTCCGCCGTTAACGATTTGTTCTTCCGCGTTTTTGTTCTTCGTTCTCACCAGTTTATTCTCCACTCGTCTTTCCGTTCATCAGAGATGAGACCTCCCCAAAGAGGTAATACATAGTGACTCTCATCGTTGTGTTTGGTCGTTTGACGCTGCTCCAATGGAGATTTTAGTTTGTAGGCTACTGTGTTCATTTCCGCTGTTCAAATACGATTATGACTCTTTGTTGTTCTATCTTTTGTCCTTTAGCCTCTGGGTGACTTTTTGTGGGTGTGCGCGTGTAAAAAATGTGGATTTTCAGGGCCTCCATTTTCTTTTCAAATCTGATTTTGGGTATTTGTTTTGATTCAGGACGTGGTGGTGGTGGCGGATTTAGGGGCGGAAGGGGTGCCGGTGGAGGCCGAGGCGGAGGAAGAGGAGGAGGCGGAAGAGGCGGCGGCGGAGGAAGTGCCATGAGGGGCCGTGGCGGTGGACGCGGCGGAGGGAGAGGCCGAGGAGGAAGGGGAGGAGGTATGAGGGGAGGAAGCAAAGTGATTGTTGAGCCTCACAGACATGAAGGAGTGTTCATCGCTAAGGGTAAGGAAGATGCTCTCGTTACGAAGAACTTGGTTCCTGGTGAAGCCGTCTATAACGAGAAGCGCATCTCTGTCCAGGTGATTTCATTTTTTTCTCGAATTCAAATGCTTTTATTGTTACCCTGTTGTGAAATCTTGGTTGAGTTTGGCTGTTCATAGTTTGCTGGTGGAAATTGTCGTCTTTGAGGAAGCTGGATGAACTTCTAAGCTGTTTCCTTTATGTTGACGTGTTTAGGATCTCAATTTAATTCAGTTTGATTAAGTTTTGTTCATCTTCATATGCTGTGGGTTATGATTTTGCAGAACGAAGATGGAACCAAAGTTGAATACAGAGTTTGGAACCCATTCCGTTCGAAATTGGCGGCTGCCATTCTCGGAGGGGTTGATAACATATGGATTGTAAGTCTTTCTCTTCAGGCATCTTACAAGAAATTGTAAACTTTTTTGTCGAACCGCCGTTCTCAACAGTTGGTTATTTACTTGTGTTTGTTTGTAGAAACCTGGGGCCAAAGTTCTTTACTTAGGTGCTGCATCTGGGACTACTGTGTCACATGTCTCTGACCTTGTTGGTCCTGTAAGTATCCGATGGAATGGAATCCTTTTCCCTTTTTTCTCGGATTTTATCAAATGGGTCTTGTGTATAAAGTCATTGGTGTTGCTTTGGACAGGAGGGAATTGTCTATGCGGTTGAATTTTCTCATAGGAGTGGTAGGGATTTAGTGAACATGGCGAAGAAGCGAACTAATGTGATACCCATTATTGAAGATGCTAGGCATCCTTCAAAATACAGAATGCTGGTTGGGATGGTTGATGTGATTTTCTCTGATGTTGCTCAACCTGATCAGGTTTTGTTTCTTTTCCTTTTTCATATCTCAAACATCCAGACCATTTTTTTATATAAAAAATCAACTTCTTTCTTGTCTTCAGTTGTGTTGTTGCTTTACAGTTTCCCTTGTGTGCTGTCCTCCTTGAAATACTGGTTTCTGTAATGCCTGGCATGTGATGAAATACTTGGATTCCCCTTCAGGACATCATGGATGATGCAAATCCAAGGTTCTGATGCTGCTAAGAATTTCTATCTGATTGAAAACTTTCTTCAAGTTTGTTGCTTTAACTGCAAATATTTCTTAAACTCAACACAACACACCTCATTTTTTTTTTTGGTTTTCTGTAAAAAAAGAAGTTTGGGTCTTGGATTTCTAGGTTTTGTTGGGTTACCATCAATCTAGTTTTGTGATTGAATCTTGTGTACTTGATTATTGAATGGAACCATTTGGCTTTGTGAAACCTTGAAGGCAAGGATTTTGGCCCTAAATGCATCGTACTTCCTCAAAGCGGGAGGCCACTTTGTCATCTCCATCAAGGTACAAAACCATCCTCTCCCTCTCCTTTTTCCTGTGAAAAATGACCCTTCAATGAACAGCTAGAACACGAGTCTTACGACCATTATATATATAATATACGTACGTGGACAGGCCAACTGTATAGACTCGACGGTGCCAGCAGAGGCGGTGTTCCAAAGCGAAGTGAAGAAGCTGCAACAGGAGCAGTTCAGGCCGGCCGAACAGGTCACTCTTGAGCCGTTTGAGCGTGACCACGCTTGCGTCGTCGGCGGTTACCGCATGCCCAAGAAGCAGAAGGCCTCGGCTTCTTAGTTAAACCCACCGCTCCTTGTTATGTTTTTTTTTTGCCATTATTGTTTTGTAAGTTTTTTGTCTTTGGTAGAGAAGCAGCCTGAGATGTCTGATTGTGATATTTGTATTAGGATATCTATCGCCTTGTTTTGGATAATATGATGGTTACTCTTTACTCTTTTATGGTAGGGGTTATATATACATATATATTATATCAACATCAGAGAATATTCGCTTGAATTTGTTTAGAATTTGGTTTCAGAAAGGACCGGTTGAATAAAAAAAATATATTTTTGTAATACATAAAAAAGTTATAGAAATCATTTCTGAAATTATAAGTTATGGACGAAGTGTGATTAAACGAATAATTTTGACAATTAGAATAAAAACAAATAAAATTGTCAGAAGTGGGATTTGAACCCACGCCCTCTCACGAGGACCAGAACTTGAGTCTGGCGCCTTAGACCACTCGGCCATCCTGACGCTGCATTTGGGCACCTTAATTTCAAGATTCTAAATTTCACAGTAACCGAAATTAACTGTAGGAACAAATAGGAAGAGGGAAAAAAAATAAAACAAAAATTTACGAGCACGATTAAATGTGGAAACTTCAATTACAATTCAAACGACCATAGCCAGTACGATTGATTAAAATCACCGCCTAAAAGTGTCCAAAACAGTGAGGCGTAACCAAGAAGAAGGTTAATGAAACATTGAAAGAGGATTGAATCGATGGTCAAGCAAGAACATCAACAGCCTTGTCGGATCCCGTCTCCCACTTCCTTAATCTTTCTGTCGTCTGCTCAACCTGTTCCGTCGCCAACCACACACACACACACCAAAAAAAACTGAGTTTTGGATTTTTTTTTAATTGCATTAATGTTTGTTTTTTTGGACGTTTACCTCTTTGTTCCAGTTCGTCTTGTAGAGGACAAACAAAAGCAGCAGCGTCTGAAGAGCTGTTCCTGCGATCATTCCTCCCCATAGTCCCTACAACAACACCACATTACCCCCCCCCCCCCCCCCAGTTGAATATCCATTTCTCTATGCTTCTCTATGAAATACAAAATAAATATGTTTTCTTCAATTTGATACTCAATTTCACATTTACTTTGGTGAATCTTTCATAGTAGGATTATATCACTTACCATCACTCCAAGATTTGCTCTGTAGCCGAGGAAGTAACCGAGGGGAAGGCCGAAAGCGTAGTAACACCCCAAGTTGATATAAGCTACTAGAGCTTGCCATCCTCCGCCAACCGCCACACCTTCATAAGCGGAATGGATCATTGAGATTATTATTTTTTGTAACTGGGTATTACGTACCGAAGTCCAGACTAAATCGGAAAAACCCATGTGAATGTCCTTCCTAAACTTGAGGTTCGAACACCGGTTGAACTAACCAAGTTTAGTTGGGTGATTGAAATATGGTCAAATAACGTATGATACATGGACAAAGGTTCTAAGGTTAAAGACAGTAGTACCAGATACGACAGGCTGTACGCTGTTGAGAACCATGGTTATGCCAAGAAGGTACGCTAGCTTTGAAACTGCCCTTTGAAGTTGTTCACTGTTTGTGAATATGATTGCAAAATGGTTTCTCGCTACGATTATGACCACCATGCTGATCAGACCGATGAGGAGTGATTCAAACACTGCGACGTATACCGAGTATTTCGCTGCTCTTGGTCTGCCCATACCAAGCTCGTTGGATACACGGACACTGTCGAATTATAAAATAAATACGTCAAATCTTAAGCCGAAAAGGAGCAGAATGTGGACAATTGATGATTGAGATACCTGATAGCAGCATTGATTCCAATGAACATCATTGCTTCCCACCCATTGACATTCATGCTGCAACATAAATCCGAGAGGAGAAGCATTAGCCGAGAGATTCGTGAGCACCTTTTAGCGGATTTCACTAACTCACCATATAGAGAGGGAATCGACGGCGATAACAGCATTGTCAAGACGGCCAGTAAGGATGATGATGCTCATCATATACCAAACCTCGAGACAGAGCATCACAGCAGATGCAATGGAGAGCCTGACAAAGGCCCAGATATCTTTAAACGCCAACCACGACAATCCATGCCAACCTTCGTTGCACCATCGGACAACGTATACGAGTTGTACGACAGAAATCCCCCAATTCGTCAGATTAAAAGCCAAAGCAGCACCAGTAGTTCCCCATCCCAAAACATAGATCAAGAACCAGAGCAGAGGGATGTGTACCGCCAAGGCGACAAACCCAATCCAAGCAATGGCACTGACTCTGCTTTGAGCCTGGAGGAACTTCGACGTGGGAAAGTTCAGGGCAAGTGAGAAGAGTTGAGGAATGGTTAGGAGGGTGAATTCACCGGCTGGAACCGCAATCTCTTCCGCTTGGCCGAGAAATCTCAAGACTGGTGTGGCGTATATGTAGATGGGCAGAAGGAAGAGACACGCAACAAATAAGATAAGCCACGATCTCTGCATATAAACACCTAACATGTGGACTTGCCCAGCTCCAAATGCTTGGCCACAAAGCGTTTCAAGCGCACTTCCCATGCCAAGCTGCAGATTTACACGGAAAATTTTAGCTCAGTGCCATTCAACACACTCTCGGAATCTCAGTTCAGTTCAACATCTCAAAATTCACGGCCCGTTAATCTTCACTTTCTGGAATTATAAACACTACTCTGCCAATTCTGGCTTCTGCGCTTGCTGAATAGAGTCCTTAATAACTTACAATAGGAGCAGAAATGCACCATGCTGATAAGCCAAAGATACGATTTCGGCTCACTGGAACTTTCGATTTAGCTCAATGGTTAAGATGATTAGGAAAATGGGTGCACGGAGTGACAAGGATTCAACATGAAAAAAAGCTAAATCTTAAGAACAATCGAAGTGCAACAGGTGATTCATCGGGATAAGAATCTCATTCGAGCATTTCTCATATTCAAGTATAGCAAGAGACAGAATCGGATACACGCATGTGTACATACAGAGAGAGAAGAGAGAGTACCATGAAGCCGAAGGAGAAGGTTCCGATGACGGAGAGGGAGATGGAGACGGCGGAGAGCTCGACCTCGCCGATGTGACCGACGAAGATGTTGGTGACGGAGTTGACGCCGTACTGACAGATGATGTTGAACGTCACCGGAGCTGCGATCATCCACAGCTTCGCCGACTCCACGCGCACCACGCGCTTCACCTCCACCCACGTCCTCGCCGGCGAGTAATCCTCATCCTCTACCGCCGCCGCTCCTCCTCCCCCGCCGTTCTTCAGCAACGGCAACCTCGCCTCCATCTCTGCCGCCGCGCTACACGTGTACGGCCCTCGCTGCTCCAATATCTCTCTCTCTCTCTCTCTCTCTCTCTCTCTCTCTCTCTCTCGTACTGGTTCAAACGCGAGAGAGTAGCTAGCTACAGTCTTGTTGGTTGGTTTATATAACAAAACCGTTGGGTCTTGCATGTCTCTCTCTTGTTTATAATAATTAGGTACAGCGTATCAAAAATATCAAATATAAAAAAAAAAGTTAGTTCTTGATTTGTATAATTAGACCAATGGGGAAATTCGAAATATATAAAAATCATATTAGCTCTAGACATAAAATTTATATTCAATGTTATAAAACTAAGCCTATGTTAATATCCAAATTATATTAGTTTTTATATTTAATAAAAAATAATTTATTAAATCTAACATTTCCGACATTTCTCTAGATTTTATTTATCATTTTTCATCTCTGTTACATTTATTTCATTTAACATTAGTCCCATGTGTGAGATCGCGTGAATCACAAATCCGAAATTTTGAGCATATATACTTTTTATCATATGATATATTACATATTCATAAGACGCAATCAATCTTCGAAAAAATTTGGTCTGTCGAAAATATTATATGCACTATACATATATTTTTTCTTTTTAGGTAGTTATAAAATATCCCTTTTCGGAAAAATGAAAAATAACATTTTTTTATTTTAAGAAAATACAAATAAACCTATAAGACCTTAATTGTTGTTGTTTTTATGAGAGGAAGTAGGTTGGGCTATTCCGTGGTGTATAGTAAAGACACGTCAACACATACAAAAAAAAAAACCATAAAGAATTTATAAAAATAAAAAAAATAAAATAGAATCGTATTAATGGACCTCCTCTTCGCCCATATGTTGTTTTTATTAGTAGGGGTTGCCATTTAGTAGAGGGCCGATTTTTCAGTTTTTTGGTTGGGTTATTTTCGGTTTTTATTATTTCACTTAGAAAACTATAACCATATAATTTTGACATTAGAATAGGTTTGGTTCCGTTTAGTGATATTTGGCTTCACATTTATTTTAAAAAATTAATTTAAAAAAAATATTTGGTTCGAATTCAATTTTTTCGATTTTAGATAAATAATAACCTTTTCAACTTTTATATTCAGATCAATTTAATTATTAACCGAATTTGTCACCTTTATTTCTTAGCATTTAACGATTTAAATGTTTTCTTCTCGTTGGTTTGAGCAAATAGGTGTAGTATTTTATCTTCTCCATCTCTCACCGATTCACTCTGAAATTTCTCGTATGTGAGCAAGATTGAAAGGAAAGAGAAGAAACAAAGTTTACGAGTTCGGTCATCCAACTTAACACTCGGACATACGTCTCGAAAAAAGAAAAATGCTATTTGAAAGAAAGACCGCGGGAGATCGATCGAAAAAATATCAATTTCGAACGTCCAAGAACTTGAGTTCGCCGAGAGAGAGAACGGAACGAAGAAAACCTAAAAAAACACAAAGTTTGAATGAAACCCCGAAAAACCCTAGGCTCGTAACACTCACCTATACAAATGACAGATTTGCCCTTCCATCCTTTGGGACCTTCTGCTTTATACCGAGGCTCCGAAAACCTCCGTTTCTTCTAGCGGGTTTTGACGAAGACTACATTCTACAATAGGTTATCCGTTTTACACAACCTTTTAAAGAATTTGAGTTTGAAATCCGGTCTGGAATTGAACGGTTATCGATTGATTTGTATTTAGTCCGGTAATTTGGTAATAATGTCGTCGGTTTGGTAACCGGACATTGATTGGATTCAGCAATTTTCACATTCTATTCGTTTTCGTTTTTCTTCTGTTATGTGAAAGCCTAAGACTATGTGCTATCACATTTTATATTTTATGGAATCCAACGACATTTGTTTACACTCGCAATCTCTTACATCTGAAACATTTTTCTGTCGCATTGATCCACTCCTTTTTTTTAGAAAAAATAAATAATAATGACATACCATAACTAAACCACAAATATTACTGAACTAAACCGGACAAATACAAATTAAAACCGGCTAAATACATCTCAATTCAAAACTTCAAATGTATCGAAAGCTCGAATCTAGCGCCTGGCAAAAGCATGGCTCAAACTAGCACCGTTAATATTGTAACAAACATGATATATTTGGCAATTATAATAGAAACAATACATTATAATACGTTGATGAAAATATAAAATATTATATGGTTAGTGAAATATAAAAAGGGTTTAAAGCATATATAACAAACATGATATTTTTGTTGTTGTTATTCTCTTGCTTGCAAAACCCTAACCCTCAAATTCACGCCAACCCCTTTTTAAATATATTCAAGTGACCGTAATATGTATATGATATTTAACTAATATAAATTTAAAATTTTAATATATTTTTGTCAGAATATTTTATTATAATTTTGCAGTATGACTATGATTGATGGTGAACAGGAATGATTTGAATGGTCATTGTTATGAAAATTTTGAAACCATTGTTTAACATATGTGCCACCAATAGCATGTTTTAGTAGCATGGGTGGTAGGAAAGTAAATATAAGAAAACCTATATCCTTTTTGTTAAAATTTTTGTAATTGATCTACGTGTCCTTTCTCGAATTTTATAATATTATATAACGTAAGAGTATTACTTAATCCTTTCGAATCGATCATGTTTTTATTATTGAATTAACCAATAAAGTAATTAATTAATTTCACTTATATGTTATTAATCATGTATGATTTCAACGGAATAAATATCAAATATGCGTGTGTGTGTGTGTGTCAAGGAATTCCCATTTCCCACCGCAGAGTCATGGATTTACACGTAAAAGTCATTGTGCTTATTTATTTTGTATTCAAGTGTCATCGAATGACCTTAGTTTGGAGTTGGTTTCCTTTGAATGTTGGGCTTTTTCTTCTACCAAAATAATTATTTTGAAGATTTTGATTACGGTTGGGGTGGATATTTCGGTATTCGGTTTGGAAATCATTTGATTCGGTTTTTCAATCCTACAAAAATATGTACCAATCGATTATTATTTTATATTCGACTCGTTTTGGTTTCAATTTTTGTTAAGAAAATTTTAGATAATTCAGTTTTTGGATTTTTTTTTTAAAAAAAATGATTCGGTTCGATTTTATAAAATTGGGTTAACTATCATTAATTTTTTTTTGAAAGATTTGCTCCAAAAACGATACCACATTTTTTGTTTCGTTAAGATTCGGTTAAGAAGAACCATACCAAAACACTCAACCCTAATTACAATATTGTAATGAGACGATTTTATATATATATATATATATATATATAATTACTACCCATCATATGATAAGATGCGAGAAAACACAACTTTCCACGAAACATGAAAAGATTGTCGTCATGCAATTTTATTGGATAAAAATCTCGAATATTTGGATGTTGTTTTTATTCAAATGTTCTCAGAATATATAGGCTCGTTGAAAATTAGTGCATTTTTTAAAAAAAATTATATGATTTCTATAATATATATTTATAAGGAAGTTTATACGCGTGGAATCACGTGCGAAACAGAGAAACCAGATATTAAGGAGGAGTGTCATCTCCGACTTCGGAAAGCGCGTGCCCTTCTTCTTCTTCTTCCTCCCTTTTGTTTTTTATTTGTAATTTTCATTTGTACATTAATTTATAATTATGTAGATAGCAAATCGTTTTTATAGCAAATCATTAATTTAGCATTGTTTTCAGAGAAACTAATAAACTAGGAGATATCGGAAAACTTCTAATTTTTATTAATAATATATATTTCGATTTTGATATGTAAAACTGATTCGCTAGTTAAATTAAATATTATGTAAGTGTGTTTTTTTATTTGATTGTATATGGTTTGTTTATAATTAAATTAAAAATTGATATAAAATAAGTAAATAATTATAAGAAAAAATTCTGAAACGAGTCATCTTCTTTTTTTAGTCATTCAGATATAATTAAGTTTGTAATTTAGAGTTTTCTTAAAAAAACTTAATAATTGAAATTATTTAAAAAAAATTATAAACTAGTCCGTTTGATTCCCAAAAAAGAATATACTATTTGATTTGGCTTTGATTATTATTGTTATTCTTACTCCTGAAAATATATTAAAAAGAAAGAAAAAGTAGAAAGGAATGAATCTATGAAAATAATGTGCAATAACGTAATGTACTCATAAGAATGAATTTAACATGAACCGGTATTACCGGTTCATACAAACAACCCACCACCAAACCGGGACCTACCACTCCTAGTTTCACTTTTATTTACAATAATACCCTCCTCCTTGATTTTTTTTTTTTTACAACGATGGAAACTTTCCATACGGTCCTCTCTCAGACAAAACAATCAGTATTGCGGATAGTAAACTCCTAATCGTGCACAAAGCCAACAAATCACACAGAATAAATAAATCAGTCAAAACTGATCGGTTCAAAAAAGTTTCTATACCCGAATTTCCCTATTTGAATATTCACTTAACTCACCCCGAGTTTTTCTTTTATCCCCACCATACAAATCTTGTGTCCCTAAATAAATTACATTTTAACAAATCTAATTAGAGTGGGCGTTTCCGTTAACGGTTCGGGTTCGGGACAGAATGGATCAGTTCGGTTCTTCGATTTTACAAAAATAGGTACCAATCGGATTTGTTTTTTGTATTCGATTCGGTTCTGGGTTTTATTAAAAAAAATGATAGATTTCCTTTAAAAATATTCGGTTTTTTGGGATTTTTAAAGTTCGGTTCGGTTCCGGAAAAATTCGATTCTCTAAAAATGGTACCGTTCGGGAAATAACAGCGGTTTCGGGTCGAAAAAAATACCGTTTTAACGGTTCGGTTCGGTCCGATTCCGAAGAACCGAACCGAAACTCTCAACCCTAAATCTAATATTGAAGCCTTTTTGTAAATAAATTTAAATATTATTTTCTATCTTACTTTTTCTAGTTATAGAAATATATTATTTTTATTTAATGAACCATTTTAATCTATATGAAGTATAGTAATATCTAAATAACAATTTATTGGTGCTAGACGTTCTGCGATTTGTAATCGACAAATACATTTTGCTTAAAAATCGACTATGATGTGATATTTTACGTGTTTATAAAAAAAATGTTTAAACAAACGATAAATTATAATTACCTAAAAATATTTTTTTTGTCTCATTGATTGTCAAAACCTTATAATGGAACTACACGCTGTAATAGTATATTGCAAAATCTTATTATATATATATATATATATATATTATTAAAAAGGTGGATATATTGAGATTTATATGGTGGAGAAAGAGTCGGAATTAGGCAAGGGACCAGTAGGACACGTGGGAGCTCACTCTCTTAAATATTCATTTTGTCTACACACCTTAAATTAAATATTCATATTATTCAACCACAAGTAATTACACGAAAAATTACAACAAAAAGATTTGTTTTGATTTTTTATGATCATAGAGTATGTAAATTTATTTCTAATTTTTGAAATTTTGTTTAAAAAATGTACACTAGAAAAAATCGCGTATGTGTTTTATGACAAAAATTACCAAAAATGAACATTTTTCTGGTTGTATATGAAAATGAAATTAGAGGTGGGGGTATCATATTGGAATATTTAATTTCAGCTGCTAACCGAATTTCTTCTCGTGTTAAGTTTTGCCTTCACGCAACCCACCAAGGAATTTATGCCTTTAATTTTTCTGACAACTGTTCTATAACTGTTAGGCTTTAACACATTTTTTTAATATGTTTAATTTATATAATTTCATAAAATACTTTAAATATGTTTTTTCCAAACTTTTTGGGATTAATTATATTAAGGAATCAGATACATGATTGATAGTTTTTTTTGTGAAGATTATCATCATTACTCATAAATATTAAAATCATTTTCTGAAACAATTATATTTACCAATTCATAATATATATATATATATATATATATTCACATTATTATATACTGATAATTTAATCATTTATAATATCTACATTCACATTATTGTAGTTATATATAATAAATAAATTAAAGTATTCTATGAAATAAATAGATTTAAGGTTCTCGCTGAATCTATATACAAGCACAACTAAATATCTTTTTACAACCTTTACATGCAAAATATTAGAATTATAATATCTGCAATGTTAATTTATTTGGGTGTAGGAAAATATAAAAGTCCACGATACAAACAAAACAACAAATAAAAATTCAAACCTTTTTTTCTTAGAAAGTGCATGGACCGATCAATAACCTTTAGTCACCAATCATATTTTAATTTATTATTTAATTTATATTTGCACTTTAATTTCATATGCACCTTTTGGGTTTTCTATAGGGCCAAGTAGTTGTTGAATGTGCTTCAAATTGGGTCATGTTTTAATTATATCACACTTGTACACATTTGATTTAATATTATACATTATTGTCGTGGGAGGGTAGGCCATGTAAACACATATATTATTTGAAAACGATGAGATGCATCTTTTTATTGGTTTACCGAAATCAACAGAACGTACCATGTTTATTTATAATAAAAAAAAAATCAACATTGTGATATTTTTCTATCTTTATAAAATAAAATAACCGGTCTTAATAATATATTTTTTTCTATATTCTGCACCTCTCTATACATAAGCAGCGTATCCTTTTAAATGAAATAAAAAAAATACAATTTGAATACAAACTGATATATTTTTTCCAAAGAATTCAGGGTTTTTTTTTGCATTTAGACAATTTATTGCTATATAACATTACAGTAAATCATGTCTTTTTTATATAAAAAAAAAAGATTTCATTTGATCCATAAAATATACAAAAGAGTATAGTTTTGCTGAATTTGTAAAATGTAGATTTATGGTGGCGTTTGCATGTTTTTTGTGAGAGTAGGTAAAAATAAATAAGACGATCCAAAGACGGGGGACATTGCAATTGCATGTGGATGTACACCAAGTGGCATGTCTCGTTATTTTATTTTGTGGCTCTCGAGCCCCTTTTTCTTTCACCTCCTTTAATTTTATGCATCACATGAATCATTATATCTATATATACATATATATTTATAATTTTAAAATTAAAGTATATCAATAAGTGAAATATCAAGATACACACGTTTTTATAGTTTTTATAATTTGTGGATTAAGATTTAGTCATTAGGTTAAGATGGAGAAACAAATGTTCTAGTGGTTTTCAATTACGGTAAGAAACATATTTTGTTTATAAATTTCTCAGTTCAACGCAAATGACCGACACGTGTCAGTTTCCGCACCAGGTAACCGGTATCCCCGTTAACGAAGACGAGAAATAACCAAAAAAAAATTATATTCATAAAAGCCCCCCCAGCCCCAGGTCTAGAAACTCTGAATGACCGAACTCAGTTCCAAGGAGATTGCTAATTTGACAGGAAGTGACGATATTTGAAGTTACAGCCCAATGATAACGTCACAAGTGTCAGAATCAGGGTCGGGTTGCCCTCGGGGTTCGTAACTGTCGTGTCAGGGGAGCGAAAACATTCGGTTAGAAAACGGTGAAGCTATTCCCGTGGAAACTAAGAGAAGATGTGGTGCTCGGACCACAGTGACGCAATGTGGCCGTCGGATGTTTGTTGTAAGGGTAAAATGGTAAAACCGAATCTGATCGTACGGCTGAAAACTCTCGCGCTTCTCCTTTTATATTTTTCGTCGTTATCAACTTCAAAATGCCATAAAAGAAAGCAACTTCGTTCTCTCTCTCTCTAGATTTCTTCTCAGTGTGTATCTAAATTTTATCATCATCATCATGCGTTTCATCGAAATCTGATTTCTTTATTAAGGAAAACACGTTCCAAATCTCTTACTTTTCCGAGAATCTAAGTTCGCAATTCTACCCACGAAATGTCGTCTGGGTTCTCCGGGGGAGGTGGGCGGGAGATTTTCGCCGGCGGCGGAAGATCCATGAACTCCGGCAACAACAACGGAAACAATCCTCCGTTATCTCAGCCGTCGTATAGGAACCAGCTCCCGGGAATGTTTCTCGATCAGATCGGTAACAGAAACTCCGGTGTTCATGGATTCGCCGGAAAACGCACTCTGGCGGATTTTCAAGCGGCGGAGCAAACGCTGACGCAGCTTCCGAATCCGGCGGCTCTCAACGCTCTTTTTCTACGCTCCGTCAAGCCCAGGACTTTCCAGAACCTTCTGTCGCCGTTGCCGCCGCAGTTCGATCTCACTGCAAATGATTTAAATTTGTTGGGTAGTTCGTCGTCGACTCAGCGATTTGGGTTACCGATTCTTCCGCATCTCAGGTCAAATCATCTTCCTCAGACGCCGCAACCGGGTCTGGGTCTGTGCAGTGGGGCCCGGATGAGATTCGGCTCCGGTAATACGGCGTTACAGGGCGTTCCGTCTGTTGACCCGGTTCGGAACGGAGCTCAGCTGGGTCAGGACTCGGAGAAGATGATGAGCAGACTGAGAGAGCTCGAGAAACGGCTTTTGGATGATGACGGCGACAGACAAGATGATGATGCCGTCTCCGTTATTACCAATGCAAACAGCGAGTGGTCCGAGACAATACAGAGCCTGGTGAGCCCAATGATGAGCCCGAGCCCGACACCGAACTCCAACCCGAGCGCGAATCTGAACCCGGTTTCGTTTTCTCCTAGCTCGTCTTCTTCGTCTTCCTCGTCTTCTCCTTCTGCAGCTTCGCCGGTACCGGTCTGCTCGAGGCAGACAATAATGGAGATCGCCACGGCGATATCCGAAGGAAAAACGGACATGGCGGCGGAGATCCTTGCACGTGTGTCTCAAACGCCCAATCCGAAGGGGAATTCCGGGCAGAAGATCACGGAGTTCATGTTGTCGGCGCTTAGATCGCGTCTTAACCCGGTTGAGAACCCTGTTCCGGTGTCGGAACTGTACGGAAACGAGCATCTGTGCTCAACCCAGTTGCTCTACGAGTTGTCTCCTTGTTTCAAGCTCGGTTTCATGGCCGCGAATCTCGCCATCCTCGAAGCGACCCTCGACGAAGGGCTAGTACACGTGGTCGATTTCAACGTTGGAGAAGGTGGACAGTACATGAACCTCCTCCACGCGCTCTCCACGCGCCAAAACGGTAAAGCTTCTCCACCGGTGGTAAAGATCACCGCCGTATTGGACTCCGGCGATGGCTCCGCCGTATTGGAAGAGAGCTTGAAGTCCGTCGGGGATAAGCTGAGCCAACTAGGCCAACGACTCGGTATCACCGTGAGGTTCAACGTGGTTGTGGGTTTACGACTCGGCGATTTGAGTCGCGAGTCCCTAGGGTGCGACCCGGACGAGCCACTCGCCGTTAACTTGGCCTTCAAGCTCTGCCGAGTCCCCGACGAGAGCGTGTGTACAGAGAACCCGAGGGACGAGCTCCTCCGGAAGTCACTCGCCCCGCGAGTGGTCACGCTCGTGGAGCAGGAGATGAACACCAACACGGCGCCGTTTTTGCCCCGCGTGAGCGAAGCGTCCGCTTACTACGGGGCGTTACTCGACTCAGTCGAGTCGACCGTGCCAAGCTCGAACTCGGATCGAGCCAAGCTCGAGGAAGGGCTGAGTCGGAAGCTCGTGAACGCGGTGGCGTGCGAGAGCGTGAGTCGTGTCGAGCGGTGCGAGGTATTCGGGAAATGGAGGCTCCGTATGGGCATGGCTGGGTTCGAGTTGATGCCTCTGAGTCAGACGATCGCTGAGTCGATGCGGAGTCGACTCAGTAACGGAAACAGAGTTCACCCGGGATTTACCGTTAAGGAAGATAACGGAGGGGTGAGTTTTGGTTGGATGGGTCGGACCCTTGCTGTCGCATCTGCTTGGCGTTAACTTCACACACTC